CGTCACCCATGCAGTTAAAATAACACTGTTATGAGCGACAGCTAACCTCAGTCCAACCCTGTTACTGCTGCTAAAAAATGATGACAAAGGAGAAACATAACAATAATAACAAAATAAACACATGACACTATAAAAACAATTGCGTAAGGGAGCACAGGGAAGTGGGACTAGTGTTCGTGGTGCTGAAGCGGGATAGCCTCCACTGCGCAAAGAGGCGGAAGGGCGTGACAGTGTGCGCTGGTTGCGATGCCCGAGTGTGAGGTCAGAGGCACGGAAGGGGCTCACTGATGGCTCGCTGCTGCTCTTGTTTAGCGGCGAGTCCGACGAACGCCACCTCGGTTGTGGTTCGGAGGCCCCGCATTTCTGGCTGGATGACGGGGCTGGGACGTTGCGGGAAGCCGGGACTCTCCAGTGATCAGGGAGGCCGAACCAGAATATGCTGCGAGGCGCCCTGGCGATAGCTGGTTTCAGCTGGCCTCGCGCACGAGCCATGGTGGGAAAGACCGCATGGCTTCTTCGGCGACAGCCGAGATCAGAGCACAGCCATACGATCTGATGTCAGTGCGTCAATGCCCCCCCCCCCCAACACCTCCAGTGTCCGCGTCGATGGGGGAAAGCCATGACGCACTCTTCATGGGCACGCACTGAAGCGTCACGGAGTTCACTGAAGCGTCACGGGCACGCACTGAAGCGTCGCACAGAAGCACGCACACACACCACCGACAGCTTCGCGAGCGTTGGCGCAAAGCGTCCTTCGTCTCTCCCGGCAAAAGCACCGACACTCAAGGTGACACACAGCTCCCTTCGCGGTAGACAAAATAAATACAAAAAAGTAAAACAGAGCAAAATGACATTCAATATCTGGCCAAAGGAAGATAAAAAACATAAAATACAAATAACATTTAATATTAGACAAAAGAAACATGAAATACACATGAACACTGAAAAAAAGAAGCACTGGCCGCAGACTGGGCGGGGTCGACTTCTTTACGAGAGAAAAAAAAAAGCGGTAAAGAAGCTAACCTATACTGAGGTGAGACGGTAAACTGAGGGCCTTCGGTTGCGGAGAAGTCCGCCGTCCGGTGCGAAATCACAAAGGTGACCGCTTCCTCAGATTATACCGGTGTGGGGTTTGAATGCGGTCCGCCACTTCGGTGTGCCCGTTGCTTGCGCGAAGTGCCACAGGGTGCTGGCGCGAGCTCATCAGACCGTGACAAAGGGCTTCAGGTCGGCGATGTGGGCACGGCTGAGTGTTCCCAAAGGGAATCTTTCAGCTAGTACGCGCGACGGATACTCACTGACAATCGGTTCATAAGACCGGGCGGCTTTCCAACCCTTGGCTTAACCGTTTTTTCAGACGTGGCAGGCACGGAATAGCGATAAAAGCCGCGCTTCGTGCCGGGCCAGGTCACAACAATGCTCGGTTTGCAAAAACTTTCGAACCACTCAGGTGACCGGCCATGGGTTCATCGTGAAAAGGTCGCAACAGTGTGGCCCTCGGACGTTTGGGCATAACCACCCTAAACGGGTCGATGGACTCGTCGTCAGTTGCTATATAGTTCAGCAGGAGCACGTCATGGTCCAGCAAAATGAATCCGCCGGAGACTCACCGACACACGCTGTTTCAGCCTTCTAATCGCGCCCGCCGCAGAGCAAGCAGCGTATACAGCGCTCCGTCCATCCGAGATTCGAAACGATCACTTTGCTGAGGCTTCAGTAGCTCTTCGCTGCCAAAAGCGACTCCGATTCTCCCAAATGGGGAGTCTGGTATCGCGCCCACTCAGGATCACAGCAACCGCTGCGTGCACGGCGTCAAGGTTCGCTCTCGGCACGGTGGCCTTCGGAAAGTTCCCCCGCTCGGCCGCTGCGCAGTGCGCCGCTTACCTGGATAGCGGCTAAGGTCGTCCTCATGGGGACTCCCCCTTGTCGCCGCTGTTTCGCCCCCGACGCTTGCATGTGCTAAGGCACCGCGAGTGGCCGTCGCACCAAAATCCAGGTTCTCGGCAGACAACAGGGGGCACGAGATAGCGCGTCAACTACCACGTTGGTTGTGTATTCACCACAAAAGGGGGCGACCACACGGGCGAGCGCCGAAGGGCGCCGAAGGGCGCCCGTCGATAGAGGCGGTGGCCTCTTTGTGCAACGCGGCATGCCACGAAGCAGACATTTTGCGACGAGCCCGAATCGCGCAGGCGAACTGACTCGCTAAGAGCAGTCAAAAGCTTAGAGCTTTTGATACCGCGTTGGACGCCAGTGTGGTGTACACGTATTCCGAAGGAGTACGACCACCAGCGTTGGTCCGGGTTTAGCGAGCCACAGGGCACGCGTTAACCGTCGCCATGGCGAGAACACGATACTGCTCAAAGTCGCAACACTTTATTGTGGCAACACCAAACGTAGTACAGCCCGTTCCAAAAGCCGCGACAGGAAAGCAAATAGGCTTATCCACGCCACGGGCAGAAAAGTACTACACAGGGTGCCACGAGCACGTCTCCGCAGTAAAGGTGATCCATGGAGACACCGGCACCAAGGCCCGGTTGCTCGAGCGAGGGCAAAGGCACTCGCGTTGGCTTCGGAGGGAGACGGGTCGGCGTAGCTAGGCCACGCAGTAGGACACCGTACCACCCTTCGGCCGTGCGTACGCAGTGGGAAACAAAAGGTGAGCGTTCGCCTCGGGCGCGAGGCGCCATCAGCGAAGTCCGACGAGCCCCGAGGGACGGCAGTTGACGGACGGAAAAGATTGCGTGGCTTACCGTTTGCAGTATCGGAGAGTATCTGTCTGCCCACTCCCGACACAGCGTGCGAAAACCTCTCGAGAGATTTCGCGCGCCGCCACAGTCAACATCCGCTACAGGGTGAGGGGTTAAACGTCACTCCGCTCCCCCAGCGCGGCAGACAGCAAAGGAGGGGAGACATGTCGGGACATGAGAACGGCAGAAAAGGCGGCAAAGCCCACGCAAAGGCAGCAGGCTAGCCTCAATTCCCACACTGCTTAAGCCGCGTTCGTCACCCACGCTCGCGGGCTCTTATCTGTAGGTAAAACCTACTATGTGAGGGGGAAGTTTATTGATTTGGTCCTTATGCGGGACGTTACGGTGAATGCAACGGTGACAGCATCGGCAAAAAGTTGTTGAGAATGTCCATATAATCTTTTCGCAGCCAAATTGATCCATCATGCATTACAATTAAAGTCATGCTGTACTAGTAATTTTCAATAAAGCAGGACATAGCTTAAATTCGCTCATCACAATATAATACTGGGAGAGGTGACCATTATTTTCACCTAAAATTACATTATAAAAGGCAGAAAATTCCTCATATTTAAGAGGGTGATAGGGAAGGTGAAGCGGACGGAAAAAAACTGTCTTTGGAATACATTTGGTGTTCATATAGCATAATGTTGTCTATCTGTGCATTTTGACTGCCCCCTCAATTTACTGGAATGTTTGAGGCTGGCTGAATAAAATGTCAATATAAATAACGAGAACATTCCGCCAATGTGCTTTTGGTGCTTAGTAAAAATGCAAATTATGGTAGACGTGAATTAAAAATATTCCCACGCGCACTTCGTTTACTATTTTAATTAACGGACCAGTTACACGTTTACTCACTGCCTTGTGCGCACCCCACCGGATTGTCTCACATTCCCGAACACTATCGATTGACTTGAAAAGATTGAATGCAAAACGCGAACGGTACAACTTATTTTGAAACTAACGCCACCACCGGCAATAAGGATGAAATATACGATGTCACATGAACAAGTTCCGACGTGCGTTACCGTTCATAGGACTACCGATGACCTACAACTGTAATTGCGACTATCAATATACAGCGTGTATTGCTTGCGTTACGATATTCATTTCATGGGCTCGAGTTCACCCCATAAAGACCTTCGTCTTTTAATTAAAAGCCCAACTACTTTCTTCTTCAACGCCATGACCACAGCACGTTACAATATTACGAACGAACGCCATCCTGTTATCAGTTCACCTTGTCTGTCTTCTAAAGCAATTTATTTATTTATTTATTAGAATACCCTCCGGGCCCGTAGGGCATTACAGAGGGGGTGGGTACAACATATATAACACACAAGAAAAAAAGACAAAATAAAGAAACAAGTATTAGATGCGCAAATCAGGAAGGCAACATAAGTGAACTAAAAATGTATAAGAATTCAAGCACATACAAGACAAAGATAGATAACGGAAACTGCGTATAGTTACAAGCATTGCTGAGAAATTGCAGTCTTGAATAAAAAAGGGTCTGTTATTGATACAACGGAAGAGGGAAGGTGGTTCCAATCGGCGGCTGTTTTCGGTAAGAAGGCTGCTGAAAAGAATTTGGTGCGGCAAATGTTTTCGTTACTAAGTTAAACTATGAAAGAAATGACAAATATTACAGAAAAAATTCTCCAAAATTTTTGAGTAAAGCACAAGCGAAATAATGCTAATATAATCACAACAAATGTTTACTTCAAACAAGCTTGCCCTGTTATTTTGATTAAGGACTATCAATAAGAAGGAAAAAATGCATCATTGGTACATCTATTTGTTAACGAAACCAATTTTTATGTACTGGCACTGAAGTATCAGTGAGGAAGTAAAGCACTACATCAAAAATTCATCCTACTTCCTAAAACTTGCGCTACCCTCAGATGTTTTTCTCATATAATGGTACTTCGAGAAGTACCGGATGCATTTTATGATGCGACAAGTACAATGCACAATGTTATCAGTCTGGAGGTGAGTTAGTGAAATTCAGTTATTTCTTCAAACATTGACTTATATTTGTTGAGAAATATTCCTTTTTTTGGGAGCTTTCGTAATAAAGAAGTAAAATTCCAAAATATTGGTCGAGAAGTTGTTAATGCTAGGTTAAAAACACGATAAACATGCGGCGCACTAAACTACAAGAAAAAATAAGTTATGATCGTCCTAGTCAGCAGTTTTAAGCGTGTGTGATCTGTCGTTTTACTGGCGTGCTCATCATGTTCACAGGTCAATGAACTGCTCAGGCAACTTGTACCTCCTGGATCTATAAACCTAACAAAAATTGTAGTAAATACAGCGGTGAGTATGATAGGTACCAAGCGTTTTATAAATTAATGAAATAAATATTTTAGGAAAACGATTCAGCCTACTTTGCTCTATGGAATGATGGGAAAGTAAAAAGCGAAAAGACACTGCGGGATTTCATCACATACATAAACAAGTGCACGCAGTTGTGGAACACAGATTTTGTGACGCTGCTAACGGGGTGAGATAACGTTTCAATACTTTTTCAATAGTTGCCATTGTAACGCCAGCAACTTTGTGTTGACGATATGAAAAATTCTGATAACAAATCCTACTACCTTATCTTTTTTGGCTGATTTAACGAGCTGTTCACATTAGCGAAGTCTCAATACTGAAACACACTTCTTTAGAGCAATTTGAAAGCCAACATTATACGTAACAACTGAGTAAAAGTATAGGAAACAATATTATCCGGTTATATATTGATAATATATGGGCAAACCATATTAGGCATCCTGAGAATTGCATTGTGCTAATGAGAGAACATGTCCCGGTACAATGATGCAACGCAGCGTGTTTGTATTACGTGATGTAACAGGACATTCATACGAAAAGAACTTTTGTATGCCAAATGAAGTGAATTTACACAGCCTAAGCACAAAATTTTCATATGAATCTGATTCTCGCAGCATATCACAAAACAAACAAATATTTCAGGAATGTGTCATGCCTCTGAATAAACAAACGTTTTTTCATCAATTCGTAAGCAAGCATTATATGCGGGAGCTCAGGAAGCATATAGAAAAAGTATTTATCTGGCAATATATTTGTTGATTTGTGTGTTCAAAGGTAAACAAGCAATCCATCATGTCTTTCTAGAGCCCTCATAAGAAATTTCCCGCCATGGTTGTGCCATCGCTACTGTGCTAGACTGTTGCCTTGAAGATGACCTAATGGTTTCCGGCCACCGCAGTGCATTTAAATGAAGGGGTAGTCTAGAAAACGTTGTAATGAAAATGTTCATCAGTGAATAAGTTCGTCAACGCTTCCTGTGCGTGCCGTGCAAAAATAAATGAGCAATGTGACGACGCGGTAACAACACACATGAGGTTCATGACAGAACACGGAAAATAAGCATAGTAAACACCGAGGTACAAAAGGCACAACGCAAAAAGAGGAACAATAAACTTGGTTTTAAAAGGACCAGCAAGAGTTCAAGGAAGAACATTCGCAAACCCGAGGACAAGATGGGCGGTACGACAGACGCTGATGAGGTGCAGGGCAGGACGCGGTTGAACGGCGCTGTGGAATGCGCTCACGTGTCGACATATGACGCTCTGGTGGCGACGGCGCTTGACGGCGTGGGTCCGACTACGGAGCAGTCAATTCGCATTTGGAGACGCGATGTTCCATGCGGGGAATAGCCAACCCGCACAGCGAACGCCTTGCGTCGAGACGCGATTCTCGGCGCAACCGTGACTATTAGCCAGACCACGTCCGTCTCTGTGCCGAACGGGCATGACCGCGAGAAAACGCCTCACCGAGATGCACGATGCCCTCGGCAAAGAACAGAGCAGCAGGCCAGGACGCGCCCCGAGATGCAGTAGTCATTCCGGCAACGCCACCCCTGCTGGTGTTTGGACGGCAACAGCGAGGACGGCCGCGTTCCCTGGCTGGAACCTGAATCGCCGGCGTCCGACTTTTCGTCCCCGCTGTCTTCCGTCTGCCGCTGCTTCGGCTCGTACCCAGTCCCGATGCTTACCCCCCTCTCGTTATGCTGACACGTGGCTCAATTTGGTACGCCACCTCTATGGGCCACCACAGGTCATGAGCTGATTTGCCTGACCTCACGCACAAACTTGGCACGAAATCACACGCGCTTGCCGCCGCACCATCGTCGTTGTCATCGTTTTTTTTTTACTCATCACAATAACCCTCCACACAAGAAAGTTATTTCAGTAAAAACAACCTATTATAACTAACACAGTGATGACGAACAAACCACCAGACTATTGCTTCGAGCAATATCCAGAGATGCCACTCCAATTCACAAACTCGTATACGTTTTTAAGGTGGCATTTTTTAACGCTGAACAATGACAACATTGAAATATATACACCCAAAAACAAAACAAACAGCAGCATCGGTTTTAATCTAGCAGTAATAAATGTAGAATTTCAATATATTAGGAAAGAAAAATGCTAGACCACACTTTATACCGACGCTGTTTTATAGAACAGATCCGTGAAATTCAACATATTTCCTTTTAATCAAATGAATTCGTATATGTTGAACCAGACTGCATACTCTATTAGCTAGCGTCATCGGCTCGGTGGAACACGCCAGAATATTTTAACACTTTCTTGCTGAAGAGGAATATTATTGGACAGGCACACTAAGATAATACGTTCGAACATACATTACATTACACTCAACTGAACACATCCAAAACTGCTCGCACTTGCAGGCTACTTCCTCCTATAAATAATTATTTTGAGGGCACCGTACGCCTGCCGATAGGAATATTGTTTCTAGCTGTCTTCTGACGAACAAAACAACAACAAATGCAGGAAACGCAAGCTGCGTGTAATCTGCAGGACCCAGGTAGTTAATAGGAGTTTCATCGTCCTACTTTAACAGCAGCAGCTCATCAAGAGTTCTCACATCAGCTGCCTTCCGTTAGTTACAGAGAGTAAGTTTACTAACTACAGTTGACATTTCGTAGCCACTTCCGCCACTTTGAGCGTATCTATCTATCTACTATCTATCTATCTATCTATCTATCTATCTATCGATCTATCTATCTATCTATCTATCTATCTATCTATCTATCTATCTATCTATCTATCTATCTATCGCCTAGGACTTTTAGCTCTCCTGGCCGTTTTCATTATGGTATCGATACCAAACTTGATATGGCATAACATTACTGTACGAAGAACATATGTGGCTAGTCACACCATGAAATACATGACGGGCATGTCATGAATGTCATGATTCACATTTCATGGTTCTGCAGCTCTAGCGGTGGTTTCGTTCACATAACATGGTGCGAAACTGGTATGGTGTGACATGGTTGCATGGCGAACACAAGCGGCAGACCCTAACATAAAAATCATGACGTGTGTGTTATGTATCAACATGACTACATGCCATGCTCTAGATGCGCTGGCCCCCCGTTTCTCTAGCTTCACTAATATCAAATTTGTTATTAAGGACGTGAAAGGATGACGAAGGTATGATACTGGTGCAAACATGATAATCATGAGATGCATATCATGCAACAACACGACTCATGCTACGCTTATGATGGGCTTGCAGCCGTTTCGTTAGCTTCACACGCGTACCAAAACTCAGTGTTGCCGACGCGAACGGATGACATAGGTAAATGACACATCCAAACATGACAATCACAACATGCGTGCCATGTGACAACATGAATATATGCCCCTCGGATGATGCGCTCGCAGCCCCGCCGCGGTGGTCTAGTGGCTAAGGTACTCGGCTGCTGACCCGCAGGGCGCGGGTTCGAATCCCGGCTGCGGCGGCTGCATTTCCGATGGAGGCGGAATTGTTGTAGGCCTGTGTGCTCAGATTTGGGTGCACGTTAAAGAACCCCAGGTGGTCGAAATTTCAGGAGCCCTCCACTACGGCATCTCTCATAATCAATCATATAGTGGTTTTGGGACGTTAAACCCCACATATCAATCAATCAATCAATGATGCGCTCGCAGCCGTTTCGCTAGCATCACATATGCCGAATTTGGTATTACGTAACGCCAATAGATTACAAAGGTATGAGACTGGTGCAAACATGATAATCATGAGAGGGGTGTCATGTGAGGACATGATTACATGCCACAGGCAAGGCGCCAATACATTTCGACGTGACGCGGGCGCGTGCTCACTGGCGTTCATTTGGTCGCGTCATGCCGGCGTTCTCATGCGATGCGCCAGTCCTGCCATAAACACTCGCAGGTGCGCGCCACGCTTCGTTGCTTTGACGCATGTGCGTTTCAACGCTTCCAGCGTCCCCTCCGTCACGAAAAGAGGCAGACACAGTGCTGACCTGGGTACGTAGTAGGGTGAAATGCAGCATGTCGCATTTCGCGCACGTTGGTGCCGGGTCGTGCCGACGGACGCTCATCGCACCTGTCACGCCTGGCGTCAGACTATAGAGTTCACACGTTTTGCTAACGTATAGCGTCGCTGTGCCGAGCGTGCGCGTGCGTCAACGTTACGTTGAAGTAAATTGGGCCCTTCATGATGCGCTCGTGGCCGTTTGGCTAGCTCCACATATACCAAATTTGGTGTTACGTGACGTCAATTGATGACGAAATATATGACTGGTGCAGACTGATAATCCTGACACGCGTGTCATGTTAGGAAAATGAAAGCATATCATACTTATTAGCGTGCTCGCGGCTGTTTCGCTGGCTCCACATATACTAAATTTGGTATCACATGAACTGACTAGATGACGAAGGTAAACGACACATACAAACATAATAAACATGACACTGAAGTCATGTACGGGCATCATTTACCACCACGTCGCAACGTTGTTGCTGATTTTATAGAGACATATCAACATTTCTGATTCTTGTTTCGCATATCATCAACTCCCACTGTGCGTGTGATCTACCATTTTTTTTTCCAGGAAGCATCAAATGAAGCTAAAAACCTAGCTCTCATGTCTCACTTCTTCCAAACTCCTAGGCACCTAAACTGAACGCTAACAGACAATGTCACGCCTTGCTTGACTTACACTGTCTTTCTGACAGCTGTGAAGGTAAAT